TCCATTGTCCTCAGACTGTCAGAGGTTCGATGAGTCGTAATACTAGCAAGCATTTTTACAACCATCACCGAGCTGGGAAGTATTACCACTCCCTTCCGCATTTAAAGGGCACAGCTGTGCCTCGTTATCCAATCACAAGCGTCCTGCACCGAATCTACAATCCACTGGGTGACAGTGCAGGCTCATCAGTTCTGCACTGCACTGGGTGACAGTGCAGGCTCATCAGTCCTGCACTGCACTGCACTCATGGAACATATATTTTAAAAAATAAAATAACGATATAAATGTATGCAGCTTTTTCACATGCATCAACGTTTTAGTGACTTTGCTAAAAAACAATTTTTTTTACTACAAAGCCAGTGTTTAAACGAAGTGCGTTCTTTTCGCTGTTCTTCGTTCGAAATATATCTATTTTCTTCATGTTCCACTAGGCCAGTTTAGCGTAAGAACACATTTATGATGAAATCTTGTCTGGTAATGCGGTCGGTTGTTCGGTTTAGCTCCGCCAACAACGAGGTCCGGCCATTAGGTTGTCTGCACGATGAGCCCTCCTGTGGCTCAAACGTGCAACTGCATATATAAACTTGTTCCCTCCAAAGGGTTGTCTGCTCCATGTGTGGCTGAATATTTAAAGCAATAGGTTTACGCCCCCCGGTGGCTCAAACGTGCAACTATATATATAAACTAGTTCCCTCCAAAGGGTTGTCTGCTTCATGTGTGGCTGAATATTTAAGGCAATAGGTTTACGCCCCCCGGTGGCTCAAACGTGCAACTATATATATAAACTAGTTCCCTCCAAAGGGTTGTCTGCTCCATGTGTGGCTGAATATTTAAGGCAATAGGTTTACGCCCTCTTGTGGCTCAAACGTGCATCTTCACTCATCGACGTTTTGGCCGGACCTCGTTGGTGGAGCTAAACCACAACTGACCGCATTACCAGACAAGATTTCATCATAAAATGTGTTCCTACGCCACACAGTCGTCGTGGAACATGAATAAAAAATATATCTTTCGATAGAAGAAAAGCGGATTTAAAAAATAAAATCAAGATATAAATGCATGCAACTTTTTCACACGCATCAAAGTTTAGTGACTTTTTTTTGTACAAAGCGAGTGTTTAAACGAAGTGCGTTGTGATTTTTCGTCCCCAGGTGCCAGTACACTAAATGAGCAGGGAAGGAAAATTAAATCTTTGATTTCCAGTGAAACTTAAAAACGAGTTATGATGAATCAATATATATTTCTGTTCCTACCTATAGCCTTATCCTGATATATTTCTGTTTATTTGCAATACCATTATTTTATTTTAATTTTTTTAAATTTTTTACTTACTTTTTTTTTACTTCAGTTTTTTTATTTTATTTAGTGTTTTTATTTAGGTAAAAAGTAGTAAAAAGTAAACTGAAACTAAATTAAAAACCAACCACAAACCTTACCTTAAAGTTGCAGAATACTTCCACAATGAACACAATAAAAAGACTTTACATTTACAAAACATGCATTCAATCATAAAGTCCATAGATACACATTTAAAAACAATGTCAATCTTGTCTGTACTGGATTTGTCCAGTTGGCCTAAATCCATTTATTTTTATACCTTTGATAGTGATGTTGAATCGGCTCCACACTGAAGGACCACTGTGCCACGTCTTCATAGATTTCTCATTGTGCAGCAAATACTGATCGCATCAAATGTGTGCAAATGTTACAAAAATGGCCAAGAAACGAAGCAGCAACACATTGTTTGCATCTATCTGTGACAATACCAAGGATACATTTTAGTTTTGGGAACTGACATCTTCTGTCTGCAGCTTCAGGGAAATATGATTGCTGCTGAAGGAAAGGAAGGAAAAGCAAGACTATAGTCTAACTATTATGAAAAATGCAAGAAAAAAAGTCCCAGAAATCCTCGATATGCAAGTTTATGCTCTAAAAGATGCCAAGTAGTGAATAATTTGTGCTAAAAACTCCAAAAACATAAAATCTGAACATGTGAAAATATCTAGTGGTCTTTAAATTAAAAAATAAATTTGGACTATATTAATCCCATATTTGGGAAATTGTTGTGTTAGCAGCAGATATGTTATTCACAGACATCCATTTGACATATGTCAAATAGTTGTTAATTATTATTAATAGTATCTCTTTTGAAAAATAAGTAATGAAATATAGTTTTATTTATAAATTTGGCCTAAAATGAATTAATATTCTTAGCTACCAAACAAATTAAGGCAAGTCTATAAAAAGTTCATTGAGTTTTGCCAAAGAAACGGTCCAAAATATATTGGAAAAATAAAAAACCCAGTAGGACTTGTTAGGAATCGCTCAAACGGCCAACTACCTCAGGGTACAACAAGCCAGTTATTATGCAGATGGTGAAACAGTTATTTGTCATAAATGGTCATAATTGTAAATCCTCAACCTGTGTCACTCTCCTAGAGCCAACCAGCCACTTACACAATTCTTGGCAAGACGTAGATCTGTCAAGAAAGCAGAATCATGAGCCAAGTTTAATTTATAATTGTTTTATTTCTAAATAAAATGGCAGGTGCTTTTCTTTATATGTACACATGCTCTATAAAAATAGACAGGCAAACAAGGGAAAAGCCAGAGGAAACCTTATTTTCAACGGTATTTACATCATATAGAACAATATATTTTAATCACACTATTAACATGTTGCGTGATCGTCACATTTACAACCAATAACCACTCACTTTAACACAACTCAAATAACTTAAATAATAGCAGCAGCTGAAGGACTTGTTTTTGAAAAAGAAATCTACATTATCCAATCATTTTCTTGCCACGAGGCAGACAAATACATGAATTACTTTTGTTTCAATTGTAAAAGTTGGATTTTTTTATTTCTAAAAAAAACAACAACAAAAAAACCCTGCTATATTGGTTTGGGTTATGATTACAAAAATAAGAGCTTTAGTAGAAATGTTGTTGATTCATTGTTAAGTTGGTTGATCAGATGTTTTTTAATGCAGAATAATTTAGTATAGTTTGTTAAGATTAGATCTACAGTCAATTTAAATAGTCTAATCAATATAACTGAAAACGAAAGGAAAAAAATGGAAGACATGACTCAGTGTATTGACAGAAACTCTGGAAAATACAATGACTCCAAAGCCCTTTGATCTGCACATGTTAATTTCTGTTCTGTTGTGTTGTTGCTATTTAGTGAAAAAAAGAGCTTTCTTTAGGAAAAAAAACAACTTTGTGTTCTTGAAAAAAAAATTGAAAACACTGATGACATTATGCAGAAAAAAAATCTAGAGTAAACACTGACGTAACGCGTGAAAAGAAACGTATTAGAAAATATGAGAAAATGTGATCTGTACTTTTAACTTTTAGTAGTAGTATGGTTCTCCATGTGGTGCGACTGAGTACATATGAATACTGCAAGAAAACAGTAGCATATGTTGTCAGTGTGTCCAAAGTGTGAATACCATCATCGGGCCCCTGGACAACCAGTGCCCTTTCCTTTCCTGACAGTGCCTGTGCTGTGGTGTTGGTGGCTGTGGGACAGCTGTTTGTGAGGACTCGGTGTAGAGGAGCCTGCTTTGGTCTGAGGAGATGAGCTTCTGCTGGGGTTGAATGCTGTGCTGGCACCTGGCCGACCAAGAGCCGGTTGCAGGGGGGTGGATGCAGACAGTGTTCCTGGAAGGAGAAAGAACAAAATCAAAAATCGTTGGTTACACTCGTAAAACTATTATGTATGATGGTGCATTGAATGTTCACTAACCTTTGGAAACACTGTAGCCATAGGCAGCGTAAGCCGCTGCTGACGCTGCTGCAGCGCCGGCCATCGCTCCCGCCATTGCTGCCGCACTGCCTGCTGTTGATTTGCGTCCACGTCCTTTTCCTCCTGACTTGGTTCCACCCCCTGATCCTTTAGGTCTTCCCCGACTCCGTGACCGTCCTCTGCCTGGACTTATTGTGTCGGAGGCTGAAAAACCTATCGAGAGAAAGACAATGTTAGCAGGAAAATTTAGGTATTATCCAATTGGTTAGAAACTGAACGCAAGCTAGAGTGACTAGCCATGGCCTCCAGAACTGCTAAGTACCAAATTTCACTAAAGTTTCCACAGTTCAATTCTGTGGCAACATTACAGCAAACAATTTCAGGTTGGTTACATGTTGAGTCCCCATGGTTAAAAATCATCATATTTGTCATGGCATAATATGCCATTCCCTGAGGAAGTATTGCAGTGAAGTCCCAGTCCAGCACTTCCAGGGGTTAAAGTAAAATCACAGTTGTCAGTATTTGAATCCAATTGGAATCTCAGGTCACAGGATTAAATACTACGATTCTGGCCAGAATATTTATATCTTTGGCTTTCTTTATCATTTCTAAATGCCAAGAGTGCAGCTGACAGTGATTTCTCAAGCTTAAACTACAGGAGAAGAGAAAACCCTGGAAAAGTAAATGCATCTGTATAACAAACATTGAGGCAGTAATTCATTCCTCATACTTAAATATTAAAAAATATATATGTTTAAATGTTTATATTTATTAGTAATACTTAAATATTATTACACCTTAAATATTTGAAAAAAAACACTGACTTACTAAGCGCACAGTCTGACACAGAGATGAATAAATAACTATAAATACACAGTAGGAAGGAAGAGACAGACATGTGGTCTGGTTTGGCACTGACCCAGTCCTTTAAAGACAATCTGATGATTTTACTGTAATACTCAAAGATTTATGGCATATTAAAAATTACTTATCATGACCAGAAGTACAGCTTCCAAGAAACAAAACAAGAACTCTAATCTTATTTTCCATACTGTTTGCAGAATTAGAGCCCATGTCTGCCTCATTGGTTTTTGTGCCTAATCCACCACTACCCGGTCCTCTTTTCTCTGACTCATCATGTCTCTCAACTTGTCTGCATTTTGTTGCATGTTTACTGCAACCACTGTAATAAAACAGTCTTTTTATGTCCCAGAAAATGACCTGGTGGTGTCACCAGTAGCACTACTACTGACCACACAAATAAAACTCCCATGAATTTAACTGTTCATAGCTTTCGGCTCTAAGATGTATGGCTCAGAATGATTTGGCTCAACAGACCAGAGGTCATCATTGTTCAGATGTGGAAAAAATTATGATTAAATTTTTTTCAAAATCTTATCTTGTCTGCATGTTTATCTTCAAATTAGAGCATTTTGAGAATTTTATTTTCATTTTTTTTTCTTTGGAAAAATTTAGCAATTCATTTTTGGTCAGATATTTATCTTATCTGCATGTTTCACATTAAATTAAAGCATTTTGAGAATTCTTTGGAAAAAAAAAGTTTTTTTGGAATTCTTCAGCAAAATCCTAATTTAGCATTTCATTTCAGTCAGATGTTGAAAAATTAGGATGCAATTTCTCGGCAAAAGGTTTCTCAAAATTGTCTATTACCATTCATGTTGTCAGAGACTGATCCGGAGACAGAAGCTGGTGAGTTGGTGGCACGAGACTGAGGCGCTGAAGACACTGGATCATCCACTATGACCAGCATGTCACTGCTGCTCTCGTCCACATCCGGGTCTGGTGGCAATGATCCGGGCTGGAGCTCACTGCTCAGGGAGATCTGACGATACACAGACGTACACAGAGACACACACAAAGGCTGAAGGTCAGCACCACGAGGAACATGGGAAATCAAGGGCATTCATTGACAAGGGAAGACGTGAGTAATGGTGGAAGGAAAAATAGAAAAGAAAAATTACCAAAGAAGAAGACATTTTTTGGCAAAATGTTGTTAAAAATGTTATCTTGTCTGCATGTTTCACATCAAATTAACACATTTTTGAAAAAAATAATTTCTGGAATTCTACAGCTAAATCCTAATTAATTAATTAAAATTATTTTTTTGTTTGATGAACAAAATTATGATGACATTTTCAACTAAATGTTTTCTGCATTTTCCTCATAAAATTAAAGCAATTTGAGAATGTTTTAGAAAAAACCTTTTGGAATTTGATTGGATAGATCAAACTGTTAGATCAAAACAACATCTAAACATGAACTCTTACCTCACTGAATGGACTAGGCATTGCAGAGTCCATGTCCACACTGATGAAAGAGTCGTCTCCATCTGCAGACATGTTGGAGTTATCAGCTGAAGGGGCATGGGAGATGACCAGGTTGGTCTCCTTTTTCCTCTTGCTCTCTGACTCCTCTTTCTTCTGCAGGCACAGAAAGCAGTCAAGTGATGAAAACATTGTGAATTGTTGGTTAGATGTAAAACTTTTTTTCACACATGTTCTATTTTTCCTCATCATCATGCCCCTCACTTCCTTCTGTGGAAAGGCCTAAAGGATGGATGTATCGGGTTATTTGTTGACGGCCCCGCCGTCTGTTCAACACTTGACTCCAGAATCTGAAATGTCAATGACCGTTGGCCAGATTGCCATGTAATCTGGTATGAATTTGTTCCCCTCGGGATGATTTCTAATGACTGTGGTGACCTCCTGACCTTACATATTGTGCTAATTTGGCCCATGACAAGATATCTCTAATGAACGCTTGAATTTCCACAAAGGTTGTTCTAAAAAAATGAGGACCATGGAACCACATTTGACATTTTCAACTACCAAAATTTTATACCATTTATAAATTAATTTACATACCATTCAGCAGGTATGGAAAGTCCACACTGCTGGTAAATGCCAGCTTAAACATTAAACACAAAGGCCAATCATATTTAATTTCAAATATTTTTCTGTCTTGATGTGAGGACTTTTGGGTATTTAGCTGTTTCTATATTCTGGGGTTTTTTTTGTACACCATAAAATTTGAAAATTATTTTCAATTTGTCATACCAATTCATTTGAGTCATTACATTATTCTCTGGTTATTTCTGATAGCACCCTCCCTGTCTTTTACTGGTTCATATTCTTGTTCAAAGCAGTCTTTATCTCTACTCCTCTTGACATATAAGACAGAGGAGGTGTCGGGTGACCGTTCTACTGTACCTTCTCGGCGTACTTCTCCCTCTTCCTCTTGCGCTCCTTCACCTTGCTGCTCTCCTCCTGTAGCCTCTTCTCCTCCTGCCTCTGCCTCACTAAAGATAAGGAAAGTGTATCCATGTATTTAATTTGTGAAATTATATATATTTCCTCCCAACATGTTCTTCATATTACTTACATTTCTTTTCCAGCTCGTCATCGTCCAGCAGCAGACTGACCACCTCTTTGGGTTTGAGTGTGTCTGGTTTAAAGTTTCCTCCGGAGATCACCACCCTTTGGATCTTATCACACAAACAATGAGGCATTAAATCAACTGAGTAATACATTTGAACGAGTACAACAATGTTGACACACCCTTACTCTATATTGATTGATTAAAACCCTGTTATAATATTCTGTTCATTTGAATGGTATGGAGTAGGTGTGTCAGACCTCGCTCTTCTCCTTGGCCCGCTGCAGGATCCTCTCCTCGATGCTACCCTGACAGATGAGGCGATAAACGGTGACCTGTTTGGTCTGACCCAGCCTGTGGGCCCGGTCCATGGCCTGCTGGTCCACCGTGGGGTTCCAGTCACTGTCGTAAAAGATGACCTGGAAGAAAACCAGAATCCACTTTGGTCCAGTTCCAGAAATTTCTCTTTACAGTAAGCTATGTCATATATAGTTAACATTAGGTCATGTCTTGTAGCCATGAACCAGTACCTCTCCGAAGGTCAGTTTGTGCTGCACCGCAGAGAAATAATGATTAATTTACTTAATTTAAAGAGGATCTGGTCAGCTCTGTTTGATTTAACCCTTTTTGGTACTATTGGTGAAATAAGTCAGTGTCAGTTTTTTCTGTGTTTAAGTGACTCACAGTGTCAGCAGCTGTCAGGTTGATGCCCAGGCCTCCTGCCCTGGTACTCAGGAGAAACACAAAGATATCCGTCCTTGTGAGATTGAAGCAGGAAGGGGACAAAGAGGGAGGAAAAAGAGACAAATCCTTTAAAAATAATAAGATAATAATTATCTTAGAGCTAATGTTGACACAGTGTCATTTAAAAGTCACTCCAGGGCCTGACAGCCCATTAAAACTTGGGAAAAAGGAACATGCTTTATACAAATAGCACAGTTAAGCAGCTGTGGCCCCTACAACATGAGCTCCAGAGCTGCCCAGTAATGTGAAACAGAGCATGTGGAAACACACACACACACACACAGATGAGTGTATCTACCCACCTACTCTGGAAGTCAGCCACCATGTCTCTGCGTTCCGAGATTTTAGAGGATCCATCAAGTCGCATGTAGGTGTGTTTGCGATAAACCATGTACTCCTGGTGGAGGAGGGGGAGAACAACATTGATGGGATAAAATTAGGTTTAACAAAATCCAGGTTTGGGGAATTGTGTCTTTAATCTATCACTGGAAAGTTTCTGCAGTAACTAAACCATCCAACAGAATCAGCCTGACTGTTGGCTGATTAACTAAAAAAAGACTACTATGCTACTTTATGTCTTAGAAAGTTTAACTTTACTAAACAAAAATGTATCTAGACCTTATCATGCACGATAAATGATAAACATTTCATGGAACTAGAATTTCTCTAACAAATTAAAAACAAATTAAGCACGAGACTTAAGAAGCTGGAATCATGAAAATAAATTCATCAAACACATTCTAAAACTCTACTTCAGCCTCTCTCTATGGGTCAACCGCCCCGACAGCTCTGCATATTTACTGGAGTTGAAACCACAATCCCAGCCCATGGAGACACAGAAAAACACAGAAACTGATACTTGATCCTTCCTGAAGTCTGTTCAGTTCATGTATGTGTCTCTCTGTGTGTGTGTGTGTGTGGGTGTGTGTGTGTGTGTGGGTGTGTGTGTGTGTGTGGGTGTGTGGGTGTGTGTGTGTGTGTGGGTGTGTGTGTGTGTGTGTGTGTGTGGGTGTGTGGGTGTGTGTGTGTGTGTGGGTGTGTGGGTGTGTGTGTGTGTGTGGGTGTGTGTGTGTGTGTGGGTGTGTGGGTGTGTGTGTGTGTGTGGGTGTGTGGGTGTGTGTGTGTGTGTGTGTGTTTGTGTATTTGTGTGGGTGTCAATCCTACTGGGCTTCCATACCGTGGAGGTCAGAGCATCAGCCCTGATGAGGTGACGGGTCGATCTCTCTTTTTAAGCTCGACCCTGAACCCCTGACCTCTCTTATCGAATCACGCCGCTGTATGGCAACCAGGGAACCAATCACAATTACTGGCACACATCATTACACACGTCATTACCAATGATACCACTGATTTGACGCCGTGTTTCTTTTTCTTTTACTGAAGTCCATGTATACTTGCGATGAGTCGGAGGGCGTGCGCTGCACTCCTGTCTGTGTGAGCGTCTGGCCCCATATGCTTTGAGTCAACACTACATTAAGGAACATTAGCCTTAATGTAGAAATGTTGCCATTTCTGTTGTTTTTTTTAAATATTTTGCCAGTAGAATGTAATGCGGCTGCTGCTCGAAATTAAACTTTAGATTTGTCTTGCACTTTAATGCACCCCAGTTCTACTGTCATTGTTATGGGAAATATATGACAAGGTTCTAAACACCACAGCATAATCACTTACCAAACCCTCAAAGTTGTCAACCACAGAATTTAAATCTGAATGTCCGTGGATGGAACAGCATGTCATTTTATTGCCAGGATTATTATATTTGGCCTTGTGGTTGTAGCACAGCAAATAGAGCTAACTAAAATACTGAATCCATACGTATTATGAGAGACAGACCACTGTGTCCAATTTAGTGGAAATAATGCAAGGAGGAACGCAAACATAAATCCAATCAGGACCGTAATCTGAGCCACACACTTGTCGCACTGATACAGTGCAGTGACTTTACAGCTTGCCTGTACAGTCACCAGTGTTGTTTCTTCTCCAGTCACTCTCACAGTGATGATCGCTCAACCATGTGACATCACCAGAAAGAACGGGGACAAAAACAATGACGCTGATGACAGAAATCAGCATCAGCCTCTCTCCTTCCACCACTTTCGTCGTCACGGTTTTGTGTTCAGGAAATCAACTCCATTTGCACAACTTTGTTTACTCGGACCAGTGAGCAAGACGATACAGTACGGAAAACTGAAGCCAGACTGGGCGAATACAGTATGATGATTTCATCTGCGGGTGTCTTTAACCCATTAGAGGGAAGGATACTGTTCAGAGCCCCATTGGTGTATGAGGTCGCTGCAGTGTTGCACCCATTAGAATAGAAAATTATAGCTTAGAGTTAGTACAGTCAATTTAAAGGCTATTATTCTTGTCAGTGCTCTTATACCTGCAGCAGAAACACTGTACAGTGTGGCGCTGTGTGAACGGGGGCGTCACATCGTGCCAGGGGCGTTTGGCTGCACAGCTGATACAGCAACAAACATTGAAGCAACAGTACAGCAACCACACTTGGGCTGTGGTGATGTGATTACTGACACTGACATCATTAGACGATGTTACAGTAAAACTGCTTTCCTGAGGAGAAGTTCTGTCACTGATTTTACTCAAACTTCAGCACAAATAAGAACTGATTGAAACAAAGAAGTTTCAAACGCAGAGAACGTGTCTTAGTGCAGCAGACTGGTTTTCTTCAACCCTGAAGTATCTTTTGATCTATAAAAGGACTGACAACCAGTTCTGTATAATTTCATTTATACCAGTCAGAACCAGTCACATTTAAACCTGGGATAAAACAGATTTTTTGGGATCGTTCACACATGGTTTATTTGCCTCCATTCCCTAGGCCAAATTATTTTGCAATGCACACAGATTATGATCAGTTTAGTCTGAAGCAGGCTTCAGCAGTGACACAAAACTATCATTTCTGCTTCACCTACTTACTGTAAGCAGCAACAGACACACATTTTAAAACCCCTTTTTTCTGCTCATTAACAAGTAAATATTTTGTATTTAACTTCAGACATCCAATGCATTGATTTTAGTCAGTATCGTTATTATGACCACTAGTTTGACAGTTTTAAAGGCTGGTATATGCAGAACAATATTCAAAGTTTAGAAACCAGTACATTTTGTTTTCTCCACATCTAAATCTAAAATCTTTGTCTTCTCTTTTCTCTGAAAACCCGGGCTCTAACCACGCCAATCTTTCCCCCTTTCCTCACCTCATTCAGACCTCCCTCCCATCTGGCCTCCCTCCCTGCAGATAAGAACCCACTAATTAGCTCTGACCTGTTAATTAGTGGACTAATGACTGCACTAACCAGGCACAGGCGGATAATTGGAGCAGCTCAATACCTCGCTAGTGTTCAAGAAAACTGACTTAGAACGTGACAGATGTGGGAATTAGTCCAAAGCTTTGGAATTGTTACATATTTACATAAGCACTGACTCATTACATTGGATTATATTTGAAATATACCAGAGGTTGTAAGAATATAATTTGGTTAAATTTAAGAAATGAATATCTAAAATGTAGGGATTGACATTTGGGTTTGTTTGGTGTGTGTTCTGTTTATAGACGGTCTCCATAGAATTATCAACGGCAGTTTGAGGAGTTAGAGGAAAGTGCACTGTTTTAATTTGTCACTGTCTCTGTTTTAGAAGCAAAATGTTTGTTTTTGCTATTGACATTAGCCCAACAAACAACTGGTACATACGTAAAGAACCCATGCAAGCAAGGGAGAGTAATGTACTTCAATAGGTTACTGTGTATGTGTATGTGTGTGTGTGTGTGTGTACCTCCAGCAGGTCTATCATGCGCGTCATTTGGGAGTAGATGAGGACCCTGTGCCCCTGCACTTTTAGCCGACTCAAGAGGATGTCCAGAGTGTGAAGTTTGCCGCTTTCTGTGATCAGACTTTCTTTGTCTGAAAGAAAAGGAGAAGGTATTAAAAACCCGAGTCCTGCCATTTTTCCCATAATATCATGGCCCTGAAGTTAGCTTGGACATAATATTGTGCAGCTCATCTGTTGAAAGGCACTGAACCTAATTCAGAGAACATCAACTCTGGTCGAATCAATAAGAGTATATTCCCTGGGATACGGATCAGGCTGAGATTGATCCCTCTAAATCCTTCACTGATCCCGGGATTGTTAAAATAAAGCATTTGCTCCCGCTGACATGACTGCTGATGAGGGCAGACAGACGCAGGGAGACATGCTGCGAGAGAAAATATTTTTCTTTCTCCTTCTGCATAAAAGGGAGAGTCTTCTTTTATTAAAACAGCAGAAAAGAACATAAACAAATAGGCCTGGTGGTTGGAGTCTGTTATGTGACTCATTACACCACATGGGGTGTACTGCAGCTTTAAAAAGCATGACAATAGAGAGCAAATAGGGGAGCAATCTGACCCTGGTTCTGCTGTTGGAGGGATTCCCTCTGTGTCGGAGTGATGAGGAATTAACGTCACCCAGCACAATGGTAGAATGAGAAAGGGTCCAGGGCTGCTATCGACCCAGTGACAGGCACACTATGGTGTTTGACAAAAGGGGTTGTGACCTCGCGTGGGGAGAACCTAAGTGCAGGTCCAGGGTCAGGTGACAGGGTCGGGCCAGGGCAACTAGAGAGTCCCAGTGGGACAGTCAGTCTTGGCCAATTCCGCCTGTGTTGGACTCTTGTTCTCAAGCTCAATTTTGTACAGTGAAATCATGGTAAGAAAAATTTCAAATTTAATTTCCAGGCTTTGTGAGTCTAATGTATCCAAACATGTTACAATTGTGTTCAATCAAATCAAAATTGAGAGGATAGACTGATTAGACCTAGAGCAACAGTAATAAGCACATGACAGAGTCTAACTACCAAGAAACAGATTTAAATTATGTCTTACAGAAAATCAGATAAATTCCAAGCTGCGTCTTGAGCCAACCAAACCAAGTAAAATTTTCCTCAGATTGAACCCTGGACCATTTGATGCTAATGAGTACTCGGGCTGAACCCTGATCCTTGACCTTTTCGTAATATCCCTCCAAAATAAAGGTCAGGGCCTGTCGAGGTGTTAAAGAGGAACTAATAGAACGGATGAACAAGGCAAACACCCTGGGGAGGCATTTTAGTCATCACCTACAGGTCACAGCGAAGTGGTGTCAGCCTGTCCAACGCACACACGGTGTGAGAAAGTGATGACGCTAGCGTTTTTGACTTTAACTTGTATTTATGTCTTCAATTTCACTTGGTGGTGGTTGGTTTACTACCAGACGGCGTGTACACTGTGGGTACAGTATATATGGTTTTCATCAGCGCTCCTAATCAAAAGAAAATTCCTGGGACAAACTGCAGCTTCTTGGGTCATAAGAAAACAAAGGGAACAAAATGAAAGACGATCGTGGACAATAAAAACTAATTACAGAACGCTAATATCAATACACAGCAAAATTAAGATACCACTTATCGGTGGATTTACTGGGAAGTACACATGTTAGACATTACTGCGGCTCAATGTGGTGCAGAGCGAGAGACCAGTGGACCACAAGCCCGGAGATACATAAACGCCGCATCATGTGATCAAAGGCCTGTAATTGTCCCTGGCGTCAAGAGTAAAGAAGTAAAAATGAGGAAACAGTGATACATACAGGGGATTAGAAGTGTGCAGCATGAAAAAAAAAAAACAGTCCAGACAGAGAGGAACAGACGGTGAGGGAAGGGGGTCTGTGGTGGCTCCGGCTTTAGTGAAGGGGAGTATTAGAGCGGTGGCAGCGGTAATGTCGTGGTTTACTTCAGATGGGGTCTTTTAACCACAGGTGCCAGGCTAACTAGGGCTGCTGCTCAGTCAAGGGCACCGGAGGACTGTGGGGCCACGCAGCCGACCACCACTTATATTACAACTTGGCAAATAGGCCAAGTACTCATGTGAAGCAATGCAACATTATTCAAAGATGGAATTAACGTTATATATAAGTTGCAAAAAGCACAAACTCTGAATGGAGATCATATCAAATGTACGATGTCTAACTGCAATGTACCTGATAAATAAAATTAAAACAGATAAGCGCTGTTGCAGTGCTGCTACCAACTACAATTCAAATTCTTGTTGTGCAAATACTAACAGATGCTGAACAATTCATATTCAGCCTTCGGTGGGTGCTCTTTTCGACAGGTTCCTTGTAAATGTGAACCTACCAGAATGCCTTAGTGCCAACTTGAAATATGTAGAAAAAATTAAATCGTAAATCAGCTCATATTAATTTGATAAAATTGTGTTAAAAACTAGCCACACATTTGAGTTCTCACTGCAGAGTAAAAAATATGATAACAAATAATTCCAGGTTATTGTTTTTATGTTTATTATGTTTTTCCAGGTTTTTAATGGTTTAAGTGAGTTTGTATTTTTATTTGTTGGTATCTTTATTGATGGATGAAGAAATAAGTCAGGAAGTCTGTTATAAACAGTGTGGTCACACTTATGTTTGACCACACTGTGGACACCATCTGATCACTAACCTATCTGCTTGAGAGGCGTTCAACCAATGGGTAAATCATTCTATAAAATAATCGAAATAATCGAAGGAAGAGAGGGAAACAGATGTCCTACAATAAACTATGATATTGGATGAAAAAAATAAAAAAAGCAACCCCTGCAACTATCCAAACTCCCTGGAGCCCAGCATTGTGGTTTACGCAGAGAGGTGGCCGAGTTCAAAACATTTAGAACAGCATACACAAAATCCCCACGTCGAAATATCACTGCCATATGCTATAAAGCCGATGCCAAAAACATGAATAATGGTGATTTAGGGAAGCTTTGGTGGTCTGTCCCAGTCCAACATAACACTTATGGCTTACATTATGAGCTACATGTGGCTGCAGTGAAATGCATGACCACTGGTCATAAATGAGACAAAACTGGATGCAGTAACCGTCCTCGAAATATTATAAACGAATAATGAGGACTCAGAGGGATTAATAAGGATGTGCACAAATGTAATCCTGGCAAGATTGGTTTAGACGAGATCCAGCCAAAATTTGTTGACATAGTAACCCTACCGCTATGGATCCAGAGGGAATAGAAAAGACGTCTTAAATCATCTCATAATAAACACTAAAAACAAGATATTTAGCCTGAAATACACTGTTCTGAGTATGTGCTGAGTTTGTCTGGCTCAGAAATGTGGATCAAATGTCAACCAATGGACGCAACACAACTTCATACTGAGGACAAATTATATCCTACATGGGGAAAAACTGAATACATTTAAGGGCTGAAACACAACAAACCTTTATTTTGAACACCACGTTTCTAATCATTCTTAAGGAGCCAAAGTAAGAAGCATTTGACAAATGCCAATGACAAACCTACTTGCAACTGACATAATCATTATTATTGTTATTGATAGAAAGCAATTGATTTGCAGAAACATAGCAATGTTCCAAAAGTTGTTTTTAAAATAACAAGGTTAAAAACACTGAAGTGAGAAATTATATCAAAAGTTAAAAGACTTGCATAGCAAGTAAAAAAATGGATGGTGATTAACCTTAGACCTTTAAGCCAGATCCAAAACACAACTGAATGACCCAGGCCAGTGTGGATTTGAATTCTCAACAACTCAGTCACTTGAACATAAAAAAATGAATGTACTGTGGGATTGATGGCTGCAGAAGAATCACTTAGAGTGTATGATGATCTGCATGAGCCGCAAGGCATTTGGAAAAGAGATCTTGTAATAGATGAGGGGAGAACGTGAGACGATTTTAAAGAAAGACTAAGATAAAGATTTTAAAGATGATCCTTGAGCAGTCAGCATTAAAGCTCGATCTTGTCATCACTTTGTCTCCATCACAACAAGAGCACAAATATTCCTAAGAAACAGGTGGTAACACTTCTACATAAAGAGCCTTGAACATACATTCATGTAAATTTCACTTTCTTTGACAGGGTAATCATTTTGTCCTCCACTGTAAAAGTGAGGAGGACAACGTTAAGACCACACCCCACTGACACAAGAAAATCCCATGTGGTGTCACACCACTCAGTCATTGCTATGGTTACACGTATCAAGCTTCACCACCTGCGTTGTGCCCCGCTCACAGCCTCCCCCCATCCTATTACGGTCCTCACTAGGAGCAGCTTTCACCCAAAAAGCCTTGCTGCCTCCTCTTCTTTGTACCTCCTGCTGGCAGATTAGGCTGCACTTCTCTTTTCTTCCCCTTTTCCTACTTCCAACATAACTGCTGCACTGTCCTCCCTCCTGCTGCCACTCCTGCTACCCCACATTTAACCCCTTTCCCTCCCTCTACTATCCCCCGACGGTGTAATCCAATCCCTGTAGGGCCAGAGCCAGGGGCCTGACACGGTCCTGACCCAATTAGAGGCCTGCTGCCAGCTAATTAACCCCAGCTCAGCCCTGGTGCCTGGCGCCTGATACTCCCAAACCAACTACTGCGCTAATTTCATTAATATGTTGCTGCAATATTTGGTCCTGTATGCTCCCTGTCTCGACAAAACAGTCAAACAGGGAGGGAGAGGGAGGGAGAAAATGCACATAAATATAAATATGTAAAACAAAGGTAAAAGCATTGAAGGGAGATGGCAGGGCAGATTTAAAAAAAAAAAGTCAAGTGCTGATGAAAGAAGATGGATAGATGGATATGTGAGAAAGAGAGACAGATGGGAGGCCAGAGGACAGGTCGAGCCAGCGATCGAACCCAGCGTTGGCCCCTCACTGTATAATGATACATTACACTGTGCAATCAATAAGTCAATGGCCAACACTTGTTCAGCACTGCTGATGACGGAAATATTACCCTGACACTACTTTGCAGCTTCTGCATGTATTGACAGGAATCAGACCTAAACTTAATTTTCCTGCAGCCACAGCATCAGGACAGTTAAGAGCCAGATGCCGACGGGAGGTTTTAGAAGTTGGGGTTGAAGCAGCCGACGTATTCTTGTCTCTTGTTGTACGTGATTTAGCGTCACTGAGGCTAAACTAGGACCTGGCCGCACCTAGAGCACAGCGTCTATACTCGGGACCTGTGGAGTGGAGCCAAGTGACCACCACGCATTTCACAAAGCCACAAAAATGTGTCTGTGTGACTGGGCGCGACAGAAAGTGAAGGACGGCCTGCATTTATGTGTGTGTATATATGGAACACGCATCACTGTCTCCCCTCAAACATTCAAGTGATGGGCTAGGTTCCTGGTTCTTTGGGAGCCTTTAAACAGTGGAAGAGACAGACAGTCTGATACGACTTTCGCAAGGGAACTTCACCACCACCACCACCAC